AGAGAAGAGAGAGAGAGAGAGAGAGAGAGAGAGAGAGAGAGAGAGAGAGAGAGAGAGAGAGAGAGAATGGAAGGGAGGGAGAGAGAGGCTCATATGTCCCCCAGGGTACTGCCGGAACGTACCCTGGGTACGGTCCGGTATACCGAAACGTACCCTGGTAACCATCTAGCTGATATGGTTAGGGTTAGGGTTAGGGTTAGGGAGTAGGCGTAGGCGACTCCCTAGACTCGTTAGTGGAGTAGGCGAGGTACGGTCCGGCATATTAGATAGTAGTATTTAGTACGTTCCAGATTATCCGGACCGTACTCAGGGTACGTTCCGGCAGTACCCTGGGGGAAATAGACCCTATCAGCGAGAGAGAGAGGGGGAGAGAGATTGAGCGAAAGAGAGAGATGGAGAGATAGTGAGTGACAACGAGAAAGAGAGAAAAAAGAGATTGGGGAGAATGAACAGGGATACATATTCTTCTTATTATTCTTCCTCCTCTCACTCCACCTCCCCCTCCCCCTGTTATTATTACTATTACTATAACTATTATTAATGTTGTTGTCATTATTATTATTATTATTATCATAATTATCACGATTACTATTATTATTATGCAGCTGCATTACTGCTATTACAAACACCTTGTTCATGTCTTGCGTGTGATTGGATAGTTCGGCGGTCTGGAGTCTCTCATCACGGGACTGTGTGACGAGTATCCCAAGATCAAGAAGAACAGAGAGCTATTCGTCGGTCTACTCATGATATACTGTTTCCTAGGAGCGCTACCTACCTGCACATACGTGAGTAACTACCCAACTAACCGCATGCGTGATAAAAATAATCCACGTACTCCTGTTATAATTATATTTGTATATAGTCTCGTCATCGGAGAAATCATATCGACGACGATGATGATGATAATGACGATGATGACGATGACGATGACGATGACGATGACGATGACGATGACGATGACGATGACGATGACGATGACAAGGCTATGCGACGTAGCAAAGGTAATTATCCGAATAAATACTTCGCTGCAAACCCGTTTTACTGTATTTGTCTCTATGTAGCTTCAGATCCTGAAACCATTCTTAAGCCCTTACATATATATATATATTGTTTAAGCTATATACATGTGTGTTGTGATAGTTTTTTGTGCAGCATTTTCTTAGTGAGAACGCTTCGTCGTACACCTGGATGTAGTTCTACGATGCATTCGGCATTCCTCTGTCCATCCTCTTCAACAAGTTATATACATGTGTGTTGTGATAGTTTTTTGTGCAGCATTTTCTTAGCGAGAGCGCTTCGTCGTGCACCTGGATGTATTTAATGCAAGCACGATGCTTGCATCCTCTCCGAATCTGTTCTCATCATCATCTGCTGCCGCTGCTGCTACGGCTTGTTTTATCTGCTGCAGGGCGGAAACTACATGATTCAGTTCTACGATGCGTTCGGCATTCCTCTGTCCATCCTCTTCATCGTGTTTCTTGAGTCAGTCGCCGTGTGCTGGTTCTACGGTGAGTGAGAGCTTGGAGGTCAAGGGCGATGAGGCTGAAGGTCATTTCGTTTTCTCACTGCTACAGATGCCCACCGGTCCCCCCCCGAATTACTGTAGGGTCTGTAGTACGAGTCTTCCTTAAGCTGGGAACGTTGAAAAACTTAGCATCTCGTCGATTTTTCTATCGTTTCATGCAGCTTGGTTTTTTTCAGCTTTACACCGCATCATCAGTGATCTTTCTGTTATGATAATCTGTATGTAATTGTCGGTTTCTTATGCCTTTTGCTCATTTTTTATCGGAAAAAAAATAACAGACCCCTCACCCCCAAAAATAAGTGTCATTTGTCAACGCACTGAGCGTATATGGGCACGACAGATGTGTGGAGGAGGAGGGTTGTCGAATTATATTATAACTATAAGACATGAATATCTCCGAGCTTTGTGTGTTAAAGCCCAAGCAAACCCAACTATGCGTATTTTTCAATAAAAACACTAAACGATAATATTTTACTAATGCATATAGTTGAAAAAAACCTAGCTACACTTTACCAGGGTTAAAAAACGTGTTTTTACGGGGGTTCGCAAAGGCTTTAACGCCACAATGTATGACAATATGGCCACTCAACAGATGTGTGCCAAATGCGAATATTATCATTATCTCCTTCGCGCCTCTATTTAGAGAGAGATTCGTCGAACTTCTTTCAATTGGAAAGATTCGCTGGAAGAGTTTTTCATTTTTGTTTAATCAATCCGAAATTTCGGACGCGTTGATTCCGGTTGCAAGTGATTAACGCATTGTTGAAACGCGCGCGCGAGAAAGGAAAAAAAACGCGCAGACGAAGGCAGTTGTCATAATATTATCCTAGCGTGTAATTTGCACACACAGCCCATCGCTTAACGCGAACACAGCGTTCGTTACAGCGGGATCGGCGTGGCAATGATTATGAGAGGATGTAGCGTTTATTGTGACAGTATGTGACGTTATGTGACGTTATGTGGCGTTTATTATGACATTATGTGACGTTATGTGACGTTTATTGTGACAGTATGTGACGTTATCGTGACGTTATGTGACGTTATGTGACGTTTATCGTGAGATTATGTGACGCTATATGACGTTTTATCGTGACGTTATGTGACGTTGTGACGTTACGTGACGTTATGTGACATTATGTCACATTACGTGACGTTACGTGACGTTATGTGACGTTGTGACGTTACGTGACGTTATGTGACATTATGTCACATTACGTGACGTTACGTGACGTTATGTGACGTTGTGACGTTACGTGACGTTATGTGACATTATGTGACGTTGTCGTGAGCTTATGTAAGATAATGTGACGTTTCTCGTGTTTAGGCGTGGATCGTTTCTCGTCGGATATTGAGACGATGGTCGGGTTCAGACCGGGAATCTACTGGCGTCTCTGCTGGACCTTATTCAGCCCCGTGTTTATGTTAGTAAGTAAACAACACAAGATACATCATCAGGAGCGTCATAATATAGACTATATTAGACTATATAGATAATATAGACTATATTAGACTATATAGATAATATAGAATATATTAGACTATATAGATAATATAGACTATATTAGACTATATAGATAATATAGACTATATTAGACTATGTAGATAATATAGACTATATTAGACTATATATAGATAATATAGACTATATTAGACTATATAGATAATATAGACTATATTAGACTATATAAATAATATAGACTATATTAAACTATATAGCTAATATAGACTATATTAGACTATATAGATAATATAGACTATATTAGACTATGTAGATAATATAGACTATATTAGACTATATATATAGATAATATAGACTATATTAGACTATATAAATAATATAGACTATATTAGACTATATAGATAATATAGACTATATTAGACTATATAGATAATATAGACTATATTAGACTATACCATATATTATATAGGCTATATCATGACGCTCCTGATATCATTGTAACGTAATTGGTTGCGTACCTCATTTAAAACGTATAAGTGAGCAACATAAGATATCACCAGCGGCATCATAGTATAGACTATATTAGACTATAGAGATGATATAGACTATAGAGACAAATATAGACTATATTATGACGCTCCTGATATATCATTTATAACGTAATTGGCGGACGAGAACGCGTGAGTGAGGAGGTAAATGGGGAGAACTTCATGTGCGTGCGCGCGTTCGTGTGCGCGTCCGTGTGTGCATGTGTATGTGTGTGCGTGTTCATGTGTATGTGCGTGGACGTTCGTGTGTGGGGGGGGGGGTGGGCGTGTGTGTGTGTGTGCGCGCGTGTGTGTGTGTGTGCGCGTGTGTGTGTGTGCGTGTGTGTGTGTGTGTTTATGTGTGTGCGTGTGCGTGTGCGTGTGTGTGTGTGTGCATGTGTGTGTGCGCGCGTGTGTGTGTGCTTGTGCGTGCGTGTGTGTGTGTGTGTGCGTGTGCG